AGTGACCAATCTCGTGGGTGGCAGTCTTTCCGAGGTTGAAGTTGGTCTCGCTTCCGCCGGGAACGGTGGACGACAGGATGGTGCAGCCGTCGGCGATGAAAGCGGAGGAGCCGGGGGAGGCGGTGGTGGGGAACGTGCAGATTCCGAAAGCACCTCCGACGCTCTTGAGGAAGTACAGGTTGAGACTGCCGTAGTCACCCTTGCGGAGTGCAGTCTTCATGGCGGTCTGACTGCTGTAGCCGGCCCAGGCGGAGTTAATGGTACGAGTAGTCTCGACCAGGTTGAACTGGATGCCGTGGGGGGCGAAGTTGGAGTTCATCACGGCCAACTGGTCGGTGACCATCTTATCCTACACGCATATCCCATGTAAGTGACCGTCCTCTGTGAAACGTGCTTAAAGTGAAGCTGGAGAAAGAACATGAAGCTATGAAGCTAAGAGATCTTACGGTGATGTATCCATTGGCCACAGTCTGGGAGGAAGCCACGATGTGGAAGTAGGTAGGAACGGTGATGGTGGCCAGAGCAGCCAGGCTGACAGTACCGTTATTGGCGGCCTCCTCCTCAGCAAGCTTCTTGGAGATCTCGATGTGCTCGGCGGACGGCTCCTCGGTGGCACAGCCGAATCTAACGGCGGGGGTGACCGCGGCAGAAACGGAGGCGGCAAGAGCCGCGACGAGGGCGAGGTTGAAGTGCATATTGACAAGAGTGAGCCGGGGACCGGGGAGCGAACAGGCGACTTGGATAGGAGTTGCGAGACTGAGAGGGATGTCGAGCTAAGAAGGGGAACCTTGATGGCAAGAGATCTAGGCTATATATACTCGATCCTAAGTCTCTCTTGATGTAAGTCATCTTGTCGTTGTTGGGCTTCTATTCTCGGGGCTCTGAAAGTTGCTTGGTACGTTGCAGAGAGCTGAATCGGCTTGGAACGATCCCCTAACAGGAAGCCCAATGACAACTGTACTACAAAAGTCAAAGGGCGCGTCAGCTGATAGAAGGAAACCGGAAACGAGCCCGAGACTTGTCTTTCCATTGCTTCATACGCCTTCCTCATCTGGCTGATACCAAGACTCAGTTGCAGCTGAGGTTGAGTCGGGGTTTTCAAAAAAGCACCCGTGGAAACCGCGGGGTTCGATATCTGCTACCTTCTCTGTTCTGTGGTCAAGTTAGTATTATTGATAGCCAAGCGAGAGAGAGTCAGATTAGTGTGGGGACTTGTCCTGTAGCCCGGGAGAGGTTCTCTCCTTGCATGAAGCGATCAGGCTGAGGGGGACAATATGCTCGTCGTGATACGGTCGGGCGCCGGCTTCGACCGATAAGCTTAAATTGATCTGTTGATCAACCTGGCCTTCATGAGGGGCCGGGCGGAAGACGTGGGATGAGTCTTGGTGTTGGTCGAATGGCAGACAAGCTTCACAACTAGCGCTAGCGGTGTGTGGTTGCACTGTATTAATTCAACTGCTTGTTACTGCTAGTATGCCAAGCGCTGCCAAGACGGCCTTTCGTCCAACTGTAGAAGCACGATAGAACCTGCCTATTTAAGCAATAACTTGGTAACACTGATGACTGAGCTTGCTTCTTCCATTATCGGCCATTGGTGCAGGGAACGGGGCGAAAACTAATCAATGTCTCGGGGTAACTATGAGGGGATTGATTTCCGCGTATTAGGCTGAAGCAGAGCGACTGCTTGCCCTAAAATGGAGCTGCTTGCAGGAGATAAAAGGACGTGGTTCTCGATGGTTTCCCGTTGAATCATAAGAGAAATGGATGGCTTAGCAGGAGTCTCCTTCGAATATGCGGCGTCCTAGCCGAACAAGGTTGGAAGATATGCGATACGAGGGAATTGATTGCCGTAAGGAGTGGAGGCATCGTAACTCCTCATTGGCTCTTCAGTGTGTGGTGCTTGATTGTATATTCCGTAAACCCCTTAACTGGCACAGAATTCGCTATTATACCGCGCTCACGGATTTTGGTTATTCTGTGTGCAACTGAGTTATCAACATGTCTCTTTGTTGAGTCGTTACATTGCTGGTTCCGCAAAGATTGTGGTGACAGCCTCGCCTACGTGATGCCGCCATAGTTACACAAGCTACGACTACCCGGCTTGGTACCCGTTTCATCTTCATAATCTGGCTTTCAAGTCCCATAGCTCATGACGTTATTCCCTATGATTAGCTTGGGGGCACCCATCCTAGCTCCTCCATCGGCCATTGAATCCAAGGCTTGTGGCTCCCATCTAGCAACTCCCACGCCTGTGATATAAGATGAATCGACCAGCCCTGAAGCCACCACTGACTCTCTAATCTCTTTAGCACAACACAAAAGTGGGCATAAATAACAATGGCCTCTTGATTCGCCCTCGGCTCTTTAAGTAAAGGTAGGAATTCATCCGACACGAAGTATTTCCAGATGAACATATCCATGATGTCCATACCACGGCCTCCACTGTGCAGAGCAAGAGAAAGAGGGTAACCTAATTCGTCAATGGCCAAATTGTGGATGCGTAGCAAATCTTTGTCAATATTGCTGCTGCTGACACGCTTTCGTAGACTTTCCAAGGCGGCTGGTCGAGCTCGCAAGTCATCACGCGCAGTAAAGAATCGTTCTTTTGCGTATGTCAACAGAGGGGTCAAGGGACCCTCGTAGTTTTTCGAATTGAGGAGTTTGATGAGAGAACAAGCTCCGGATAGGAGGAATGTCCAGTCCGGGAACGCGGATTCCCAGACAACCACTGATTCCTTCAGATAGCGTCCCGATGCCAGAGCTGAGTTTCGTAAGTAAGCGTACTGCCCGTGCAGGCGAAATCTCGAATTGACTGGAAGATAGGAAGGGGAAAACGAGGTGCAACAATTCATTTCGTGATCCGATCACGTAGTGATCACTTACCGAAAAATATTGTAAGAAGTGAAAACAAGAACAAGTTCTCTGCATTTCGTTCATCAAGAGCGCTCATCAACTCCATTGCTTCTCTTGAGGCTGATCGATGATAAAGCAGGGCCTTAGCCACGAGAGCCTCCTTTCGTTCTGGCCGCTGGTGGGCTAGATGTAGAGCCGATATGGAGAGCAAAGTTCGCATGACATACTCGCATTTAAGCGCCATGCGGACTACCGAGACTCGCCACATCTGGCGGACGAGGTCATCTGTTGATAGTGTCATGTATACGGCGGTAGTGAAGTTGTGGATCAGCTCCAAATCGACAAAGTTTAGGGCTTGATCGATAGCTGGCGCCGGTCTGATAGGTGTCTCTGGGTCGTCTGCGCTTCTGGCGTCAAGGCTTGTTTGCAAGGTGATTTGCATGCTGCGCATCGATATCGCCATCGAGCGACTTTGCAGGAAGTCGCACGTCACCAGGTGACGCACGCAGTTTTGACATGCTGGCTTCAGTTCGTCACACTATGGAAAGCTAGCATTAGCAGGTAAAGCAGTGTCAAGGATATGAGGTGCGCGAATGGGTCATATTGTGTGAATTCGGCCGAGGTGTTGTGGTCTGGTGTATGGACGATACTAAGCCCAGTAGGGCCCAAGGATCCATCACTAAAAGAAGAGATGGCGTGCAGGGTAGCAGTATATCATCAGACGAACCTTGATTTTACGTCTCTTGCAAGTGTGGCATCCAAGCTTGGATTTTCTGTGCGGTTTCTTCGAAATTTTGGCTGCGATCCTCCGCTCCGGAAGGACCTCCATCCCGTCCGATGCTCCTTGACACTTCCGTGCCGGATATGGGCCTGGTTCTTATCCGAAGTCGCGGACGAACCCCTGGAAGCACCTATGTGATGTTACCGGAAAGAGAGTTGAGATCTACCGGCAGCAGACACACCCACTCAGCAGGTTTTCTATAGATCTCGAGTTTATGATCCAAGATTGGCGGGAAGTCGGAAGGGCGGGGAGTCCAAGATTCCGAGCCTCCATTCGCTGATGCTGACGTTGACGCCGGCCGAAGAAATGGGTGGACGGTGTTTAAAGCCGATGGAGCTCCGCGAGGCAGTGCTCGTATCGTTCGCATAGCAACCAAGACTTCGGAAGCCAAGCCGAATGCGGAGTTGTGCCACTTGACACATCGAGATTAAGACCTTCACTGAGACTCGAAGACTAAGAGTGGAACTAAAACTCGATAATCCCAATTTGGCCTACAATGATAGCTTATACTGAGTTGTAGCCTACGAATAATCAATTTTTGTGTTCTCTAGAAATCTGTCGGCGATCTAGAAAGCCGAACCTGTGGATACTATTTTTTCGTATCCTTACTGAGGTAAACATATGAATGTCGGCCGACTATCATTCCCCCCGTAAGATGCCACCACTTAACTTTCCTTTAACTTAATTGCTATCACAGCTTCAAGGCTCAATAATGACTTCCCAATTTACCATGTATTTACCACGACCAAACTCATATGCATTTCTTAGAGACCATCTCATGCCCAGGCACCTTTGTCCCACACCCTTCAGAACTCAAGGAGAATGAAGTGGAGTTCTCTGGACTCCTGGGACTCCGCACGAAAATGAATGAAAGAGCTTTACGAGCCATATGTGAATTGATAGCACAGTATTTTGAGTGTATAATACCCTAATGCGAGTCCATAAAGATGGGAGTGTCAAGTTACGGGTGAGGAACGAGGGTTTGCGGATGCGAGCCGCGTAGCCGTCCGGTACTGCCCGTGCCACTCGCCAAATGCTATTCCATGCAGCCAGTCCCTGTCACTGGACGTGCCAGGGTCGAGATGCAGAATCGAGAGCATGTTCACAACCAACATGCATTTGTTGTCTGACAAGAAGAGGGGAAGGGCGAAGGGCAACTCTTGATGGGGGTAAATCCCCGAGGTCAGAGAGCAATGGTATGATGCGAGATGCAGGTTGACTCCTATATCTTCAGCGCAACGCCCCCACCAACTTGATAAAGCCCGCGCCTTCGGCATCCCAGAGGCTCGCAATATTCAGCTCTTTGGCGGTTCAGCACAGCCATGGCAGTTAATAACGATGATGTACTGGCGGCCAATGAGGTAGGATGATATGTAAACGTTCAGCCATCTATGCCGATACTAATTCTTTGTCTCCTTTACAGAATGTCAACGACAATTCCTCCGTGAGCCATGTAAGCCAGCGTCCATGCTTATTTCCTCATCAGCGTGTTTGTCATGGAACTCATTCATAATCGAACAGCAAAGTCTCGCTTCATCGACAACAAGCGTAGCCAGCTCAATTCTCGAGTACCGCATCGAGAACGGCCGGACGTATCACAAATACAAAGACGGAAGTAAGCTCTCGGACGCAACTAATTTCATGCTGCAGCATCACTCACAAGACAAGAGTATAATCTGCCCAACGACGGTAAAGAAATCGATCGACTCGGTAAGGCTCTCCCTCAGAACAATACATCGAGGTGAAGTTCTAGGTACTGATTAGCACGCGGGGGAATAGATCTACAGCACAACCTTTTCATCCGGACCTTCGACGACAGACTAGGAACCGCACCACCCAACGCACGAGACTCTAACGTCAGGAGGGTCTTGGACGTGGGCACCGGTTCGGGTATTTGGGCAATCGACTTTGGTGATGAGCATCCCGATGCTGAGGCAAGTCGTAGACTGAGTCACGGAACGAGGTCTTACAGATGATAACCGCTCAATGCGTAGGTCATTGGCGTCGACCTATCAGCTGTTCAGCCAACATTGTATGAGCCTCCCTAAGTCCACACCAGCTATCATGTCTCTGATGCAAAAACTAACATTGCACTACAGCGTGCCGCCAAATGTGCAGTTCCAGGTCGAAGATATCGAAGAGGACTGGCATTTCTCGCTGCCCTTTGACTACATCCACAGCCGAATGATGACGGGTAGCATCGCAGACTGGAAGATCTATCTCCGCCGTTGCTTCGAGTGAGTTCTGCCCACATCTTCCTTCCTACAAACACGCACAAAGCATCTCCGCCGTCTAACACACGTAACTCTCGCAGCAACCTCAACCCAGGAGGTTACCTCGAACTCAACGACATTGATGCAATCCCCCTCTCCGATGACGGCACCCTCACCGAGGAATGCACCCTTAAGAAGAGCTTCAGCCTCTGGTCCGAAGCTATCGCAACCCTCGGGTCCCCGTTTGAGAAGTTTAACCGCCTAGAAGGCGTCCTGGCCGAGGTCGGGTTCGAGGACGTTCGCGTTGAACGGTTCAAGTGGCCGACGAATAGCTGGCCAAAAGACCCTAAGTTCAGGGAGTTGGGGATCTGGAATCATGAAAATATTGCGCCACACTTGGAGGGCATGTTCATGGCTGGGATTACCCGCGGGTTGAAGTGGACCGAGCAGGAGGTTCACGAACTTGCTGTCAAGGCGCGAAAGGACTTCGACGATACGAGCATACATGCTTACTTCCAGATGTAAGTGAGCTCGCTTGATAGCGTGATATTTGTATGACTAACTTTGATAGCTGGTCTATCTTTGGGAAGAAGCCCGTGAAGGCTTGAGGATTCAACTTACAATGGGCGAGAAATCTCATTTCTCTACGGGTGTTAAACATAAAACGTGGGCTTCAACTTTAGAAAGTTTTCTTGGCCTAGAATTGTTCTCTCTCCTGGTGTGCGAGGGCGGTGATCTCAACTTGGAGAATAAGTTGGCTTCGATTCCGTTTTGCTCAACATAGATAGCCACCATCGCAACCTCCGTGTGTGGCCTTTCTAACACTAGGTTTGGTATCTACGCCGCACAGGCGCATAGTCGCATGCAGTTGTTCCTAGTTGCAGGGGTGATATGCACAACCACGACCAACCAAGGGGTGACATCGAACATTACATTTTCTTGTCTACCCTAGCGGAAGAGGGGTAGCAATGGCGAGCAGATATTGCATGCTACCTTGCCGAATGAACCGATACTCAGGCACTCCCGCTTCTTCAGTAGAACCTCTTCCCACTTCCTCGTTGGAACCCCACGGATTTCTTCAACGCATAGCAAGATCACTCTTATCTCTAGAATCCATTACGCCATCCCATTACCAGAGACATAAGTCATACCATGCAAACAACGAGTGATGAACATCTGGCGGCTGACGAGGTATGATTTCTCACGACCTTTCAAGTGCTCGAAAAGGTGTAGAGATTCCATATTCTGAGACTGTATTCCCTTCCAGACTGACACCGATGGCTCATCGGTGAGCAATGTAAGCAACTACAACGCCTCACTACTGATCCGTCAGCAATATATACTGTGAACTCATCTTTGCTCCAACAGGCAAGCCTGGCTTCGTCTACAACGAGTGTGACCAGTTCTATTCTGGAATATCGTATTGAAAATGGGCGAACCTACCACAAGTATAAGGACGGCAGTGAGTTTGAAGTCTCCGCAAAGAATGGAACAATCAGACAATATGCTAATGATCTTACCAGAGTACGCCGCCCCTAACGACGAGAGAGAAAGTGATCGCCTTGGTACGTCATCTGCTCATTAGACTGATGCTATTAGTACATGCCTCCAGTTTAACGAGTTTGAGACTGATACGACCGCATCAGACCTTCAACACAATTTATTCATCCGGACGTTTGATGATCGACTCGGTAGTGCGCCACCAAACGATCAAGACGCAAAGGTCGGCAGAGTTCTCGACATCGGCACCGGATCCGGAATCTGGGCCATTGACTTTGGCGACGAACACCCAGAATCCGAGGTAGAAGGGCCTATCTCATCAGTATCAGTAAGAGAATTCACACAAGCTAATTTCCTTTACAGGTCATTGGTGTTGATCTATCGGCGATACAGCCTCTATTGTAGGAAGAAGGGTGCTTCCTCCAAGTGAAGCTCTCAGCTGACGAGTGCATTTCAGCGTGCCACCGAATGTGCAGTTCGAAATTGACGACATCGAGGAGCCGTGGCTGTTCTCGAGGCCTTTCGATTACATCCATAGTCGCATGATGACGGGCAGCATCAGAAACTGGAGACAATTCCTCCAGAACTGCTTCGAGTGAGCCCCACGTCTCTCTTACTTAGACTGTTGTGAACGCTGAGAAATAATCCTAGGAACCTCAATCCCGGCGGCTACCTTGAGCTCAACGACATCGACGCCGTACCCGTCTCAGATGACGGGACCCTCACGGAGGATACCTCGCTGATGAAAAGCGTTCGTCTCTGCTGCGAAGCGATCGCCAAGTTAGGGGTCCCCTACGAGCATTTCAGCCGTTTCGAGGGCGTTCTCAAGGAGATTGGCTTCGAAGACGTGCACATCCAGCGATTCAAATGGCCCACCAACAGTTGGCCCAAGGATAAGAAGCACAAGGAGATTGGGATCTGGAACTACGAGAACTTTGCTCCTAATTGGGAGGGATTTCTTATGGCGCCGCTGACCCGAGCTCTCGACTGGACGAAAGAAGAGGTCATTATCCTCGCCATGGAGGCTCGGAAAGACTTTGCGAACAGAAACATTCATGCTTACTATAACATGTGGGTTATTCTTACTATCCGGCTTATCATTGAGCTAACTTGAGTAGTTGGTCTATCCATGGAAGGAAACCAATGACGACTACATAGGTCTAGCCATCTGTTGAATAGTCCCTGAACGTAGACTGTTGGTGTCGTGTCGAATGGATGATGACTGTGCTTTTGAAATAGCTCAAGGTGACAAATGTCTATTGACTGAGAATTCGTGGTGCAAGGTAGAGTAGTTAAAAGATGACGTTGAAATCTGGGACTAGATCGCAGTTCTCGTTCACTTCGGGCAATGAGCTAGATCCATCCTGCTCAGGGTTCTCAATAAGCTTTCGTTCCGACAGAAACATACCAGTTTAGCCTTGGTGCAACTTTCGTCCTCGAATCATAGATTAGAACCCCTAGTAGCCTCTATCAATACCGGTGATGGACTCATATTTTCGACTAGACGTATGACCCATCAACGAATCCTCTCCCATAGAGCAAAATATCCTCAAACGGATTACTCGCCCTCAAAACCCTCCTCCTCGGGCTCCCCCGATCAACACAACTAACATATCCGGCCGAAGTCTCATTAAACCTTTGCCGCCCCCTCGCAACAACCTGGAACTCAGGCACCAGCGGACCCAATCTCTTCAGCTGTCCACCGCCCTCCCGCGATTCAACCTCCACCCCGTCCTCCCACGCCCAGAACCCGTCTTCGGCGTCGCAGGGGAAATCAATAGTCAGGCGGGCCGCGACGGATGGCGGTACACAGTTGTACAGCTCGCGGAATTCGGGCAGCAGGCGACGTGTGACGGGGCACTCGGCGTCGAGCCAGAGGTAGATGCTCTCCGCCTGGCACGATTCCTGCTCGGAAAGTATGTGCCACATGGAGGCGCCGTTGAGGTAAAGAAAATTGCCGCTGTCGTGGCGGAGGGAGATGTTGAGGCGGCGAGCTTGATGGAGGTACCTGGGACGGGGCCAACGGAGAATGCGGTGGAGGGTTTGACCGTCGGTTATTGTTAGGGTTTTGGCTTCCCTAAAGGACTCTATGCTTTCGCCGTATCTAATGGGAGCCATGATTAGTGGACTGCTCGTCGGGGCAGGGAGAGGAGGGTAAGCTCACATCCGCTTACAGGACAGGAGAAGAGACATGTAAGCTTGCTTCTTGTTCCCGTCTACTTCGCGTCCGTCTCGTATGTCCTCCCATAGCCTCTCGCATTTCCAGTGATTACACCAAGGAGACGTCATTCTTTTGAACCATTTCGGGTGAGGCTGGACCTCCGCTGTGGAAGAGGACTTTTGGAAGTCTTTGGCGACCCCGATTTGACGCTCATCAGGCGCTTCATGATCTGTGATACAGGGAGAGAACAAGAGTTTCCTATTTCGTAGAAAAGCATGTCGTTCGACCCCGGCCGAGACCCAGAAATGTCTATATATCTGATGCCGGATTTCGGGGGGCAGCTGCCGAAAGAAGGTCGACTGGCCCTGGTGATGCTCTTTCCTCGGTGCATTTGAACTCGCTTGTTGCATAAACTCTTCGTCGGCGGGGTTTTCGTTCAAGTTGTTTCCATCGCAGCTGACTTCTTCCCTTATAGGTTCCTCTGCTATGGGCCGGTCCAAGGTCATACGATCCTCCTCTATAGTTTTCGTCGTGAACAGAGATGACGTTGAGAACGATGACCTGAACGATGATCTGCTGGCCAAAGATCTTCCGCTAGTACTTGACTTGTCGTCAGGCCGTGACTTTTCTCTCATTGAAGCTTTTCTGAGAACCCGCAGGCACTTCTGAGAGGCTCTATGTAAGAGACTTGGCTGATCCATAGCCTCATCAAGATTCGTAGTTTTGGTTTCGAGCGTCATCTTGGTGGTCTGCCGTACAGTATGGAGTTGAGGGATCAAGAGAGGTCGAAGAGTTGTCGTCGTTTCAAGAGTCTTGATTCTCAACTAGAGAGTGCGGAGAGACGCAGGAAGAGGACGTGAGGACAGGCAAGGCAAGGGTATCTCTGGGGGGCTAAGAGGGAAGCCAGACCAGATATAGATGGGTTGTTTGCTTCGCAGTGTCTCGGATAGCTACTTGCACCCTCGAGGCAAGCCGTATGGAACCAATCAAGGCTGTGGGATGTTCAACTGACCCGGTAACTTGGTAAAGAAGCCCTCGCCTTCGCCCAACCAGAGTTGCAGTTTTGGGAATTCGAGCAAACTTGACGGGGATGTTGCGGAGAGGGAAAAGGAACAAACACGCCTTGCACATTACCCATGGGCCATGGCACGCCCCATCTCTCCCCCTCCATAAAGAAAGATGCGCCGATTCGTACATAAAAAGCAAGGATAATCAAAGATTGCCCAGGCTCTTCCTAACAAAAAGAGCCCACTCTCTGAGTGCGACCGGTTCTTCCTTGTGATGGGGTTGGGCGGACTGAATGCGGCGTATGCGATAATGCGGCACATGGGGTCCATCTTGTCCCATATTGGGGAGCTCGTCTCCAAAGACCCAAGTTCCAACAGATAGAAAAGGGAAAAAAGTTACAACCAACGAACCAACCAGCCCAACCAGATCCAAACAAAATTGGTACCCAAAGGGAGAGTCTCCGCTGTCTGTCGCACATTCGTTTTCATGCGCACACAGGGCACATTGAGACCGCGCAGCTGCCATCTCGCTGCAGGCGCTGTCACAGCAATAGGATCGCGTACCTTGTTGACGAAAGGGGGCGAGTTGGCGCGGGATTCATTGCGGATCGCTTCCCGTGGTGAGACAAAGATCATCGGTTGTGTTCGCTTCGCCTCTCTAGTCCTTGAGACTTGACGACCGTGACAACTTGCTCAACTTGCGAACTCATGGTTGGTGTCACCGCGAAGTCGGGGGCGAGACCGTGCCCCCCTTGAAGCCCACAAATCGCGCCCACCTATAAGCCAGGTCACCTGTAGCTTCTTATGTCGAGATACTGGGCAACGGAATAGCTATGAGTCTGCAGCTATCTTCACAGCTCAGAAGGTGGCCAGTACTATCGAATCAGATGAGTGAGTGATGCTCGTCGGCGAATGTGACAATTTTGCCCGGGAATGAGGCGCCGAAACAGGCAAGAAATGTCTTGGTTCGGCCTGGGTGATCCCGCGCCTCGTGAGCATGACACAGCCGTGTGTGTATATGTGTGTGTGTGTGTGTGTGTGTGTGTGTCTCGCGGATAGAAATCGCATGGTTTTCCGCCCTCAACATTCCTGGATCTAAGCGAGTTCAAAGGGCAACGGCCTTGCGTGCAGCTGCAACTTGGAAGCCAATACCTCTGGTGAGATCACGCCCGTTGCATGTGCAGGCTGCATGGCGTCAAGCTGTCATTGCCACCTCGCCGTTGGCACATGCGGATATAGATGTGTGAATACTCCGTGCACTGGAGTAGGTAGTTGTTGATGATGATGAGCCGCCGTCAGACCGTTGAAAGGCTTGGCCCTGCCCATGGCGGCCACGAAGGCGTTCAAGGGAATCGACTATTGGCCCGGCTCCCGTCGACAGCGTTCTTTTCTCCTCAGTATCTGTCGACTTCCCATGTCCTCTCGGCGCAACCGCGTCAAGTGGACCATTCGATACAGCGTACACCCTCTGTGATCTTGGCCTCCTGAGTCCTAGGGACCTAGGCTTAGGCTGCCTTGCCCCGGGGAACTGGGGGAGGGCCGCCCGGTCGACGGGCTGCCCGATGTGGTGAAGTGCAGGGCATCGATGCTTATCCTTGACGACAGCTCCGCCCGGCCGCGTCGACATGCGTGGAGTGCACTGGAGACCACTGGGGGCAGAAAGCGCCCAGAGGATCGAATGGGTCGAGACAGCCCAACGACCCGTGCATTGGTTTGCTGCAAGTTGGCGATGGGCAGGCCGTATTGAGTGCTTGTTGGAAGTCTGCATATTGGAAAGGGCCAAGTCTCGGTTTATGGTTAGTCTGCCCTTCTTCAGACGGCTGAGGGCGTCGTATCGTGAAAACTGCATGGGTCGTTGAGCCACAGCTCCTCGCCGTCTCCCCGTCGTGAACATGTGTCCATCCTTTGTGTCTGGGAAAGAAAGTCCGATTGTGATCAACAGGCTGCTTGACACAGCAGTGGACTCGCATGAGGCCATTCAGGCAATATCTCTGGAGCCAGAGCGTCTAGGAAATTGCTGGCGTGACTGGGTCATGGATGCTTCATGTATGCAGGCGGCAGGTCCTTGTCTGCTAGTTGGTTGCAGCACAAGTCACATATCAGCAGGCCGTCTATGCCGAGCCCAGATCGAGCCAAGATGTGACCAGGGAAGAGCAGTGCCAGATGGCGATGGTAGCGTGACAGTCCAGGACCCTGAAAGATGCATTGCTGAGGTCGGATGAACCCCTTGAACTCTGATCCGAGGTCTCATCATGGTGCTCTCTGAATGAGACAATTCGTACGCGCAAGATGGGTCTTGCTGAGTGGCATGAAGTGAGAAGTTCGAGGAAAAGCCATAGAGCTATGGTTTCCCCGACCGCTGAGCCCATTGTGATGACACATTAATGGAAAGTCGGCAGGGAGGTTGAGAAGGGTGGTCAAACGTCAAGATGAAGGGATCACAAGACGCAGCAAGGAAAAAGCAATGGCAGTTACACGGCACTTACAGGGCAAGCGGAAGTATTTCGTACCGTTCGGGGTGCGTTTTCCGAGCTGACCTAAGCAACACCGTTTTTGGGTCTTGTCAATTGAGTTTACCTTCCCGTCGCCTGGGACGAGCGTTATCAGGTACCATTAGGTAACACCAGAGCCCGGCATACAGCGACCTTCAGCGCCGGGTATCGGCAGTCTTAGCAAAGACGTGCTGTAACAATGGACTGCGATTGGCGACAGCCGTTACTGGTACCTTATCGACAGTTTGGGACTGGCTCAGGCAATCAGATAACGATAAGACATGAGAGTCGAGGGAACGGAACACCAGACGAAAGAAAAGGCGGGGGGCAATTGGCAGCTGCAAGCACTGAAAAGCGATGCAACGAAAAGCTTGGCTGCCCAAAAGTTGCAGGCGAAAGCTTCGTCCAAGCGCGCACCTCGAAGAAAAAACAAGACTAAAACAAAACACCTTGAATTCCCCCATCCTCGTCGACAAAAACAAGGGCCGACCTGAGAACGAGGCGGTGCGACTCAACTCCTTGGAACAAACTCGACAGTACTCTGAAATACACACATGCTCCTACTTCAATACACCTCATAGAGTTTACATGGCGTTGCCTCTTCCATTCGTTGGGTAAACGCTGTTTTCCTGTACCTTTTACTTAGGCCGCGCTGCGCAACGGGCGCCACTACGTCATGAAGTTTGCAAAGGAGCTCGAGCAGGACCTCGTACCAGGTGCGCGCCGCCCTTGTCTCTCTGCGAATGGCTTCTCGGCTATTATCCTACTCTTACTGACAATTATCTCAAATAGAATGGCGCATCAAGTACCTCAACTACAAGGCCGGCAAGAAGTACGTCAAGGCCGTCTCCCGCGCCATCAATCGCGCCAACGGCAGCCCCCAAAACAATGCCAGCAAGAGTGAAAACCGCATCGCCGCCAACTTCTTCCACAGCCATTCGCCATTCAATACTCAGAAACATGGACACTCGAGAGGCGGAAATCCCGACGAGCGGACGTCGCTCCGCCACAGCCCGGCTCCAGTTGGCTCAGCACGACAAAAGCCCGCAACACCAGCACGAGCGATTCCCGTTTCCACCAGCCACGAACGTCAGGGGTTAAACAACGGTTCGACCGATTTACAGTACGGGAGCTTTGTCCATACGCCTCCGAATCATGACACTGGAGCCCCCTTGGACCGCAAGGCGACTTTTGAGCTGCCCGGGCCGGCAATGCGCGTGCCGTCGCACCAGAGTGATGCCAGCCCGCAGCCCGCTTCTGCCCAGGACGACCAGCCCACCCGCCAGGCTTTGCAAAGAAGCGCCTCCATGATTGCGGATGCCCCTCGCTCTTCTGGCCCGCCCTCGACCGAACACGAGAACACGCCTTCATCGCTACGGCTCCCCCACTCTGCGACAATTGGATCTGCATATAATGCGTCGCCGAGGGGTGGTCTCAGGCGCCTGTTCTCGAACGCGTCACCTCTGAACCGATCAGGAACGAACCCAGAGTACGGTCTTCAAGGGCTGGCTATCGACCTAGTCCGGCAGAAGGAGAAGGAATTCTTTGACTTTTTGGACTCTGAGCTGGAAAAGGTGGAGGCATTCTACAAGTTGAAGGAGGACCAGGCCGGAGAACGGCTGAGTCTGCTCAAGGACCAACTACACGAGATGAGAAACCGGCGGACCCAAGAGCTGCATGTCCAGAAGCAACAGGCAGAGATCGACTTCCTAAACGGCGGACACGGCGTCTCGGACGGTCCCCAAAAGGGCCCCCTCGTCTGGATCGATCCTGTGAAGTCCAAGATCTTCCGCCCGGGGCCAAACTCCAAAGCACTATCGAAAATGGCCCAGACCCCAGTCATGCGCCCGAAAGGCGGCGACGCAGGACGGGACTACATCCGACGACCCCACGAACATGACGTCCCGTACCGAACCGCCAAACGCAAGCTCAAGCTCGCTCTGCAGGAATTCTACCGCGGGCTCGAACTGCTCAAGTCCTACGCTCTCCTGAATCGGACTGCGTTCCGCAAACTGAACAAAAAGTACGACAAGGCTGTCAACGCCCGGCCCCAGTACCGCTACATGAACGAAAAAGTCAGCAAGTCTTGGTTCGTCAACAGTGACGCTGTGGACGGCCATATCAAGGCGGTGGAAGACCTGTATGCTCGGTACTTTGAGCGTGGCAACCACAAACTCGCGGCCGGCAAGTTGCGAAGTCTGAGCCGCAGACCGGGAGACGAATCTGGGAGTGCATTCCGCTGCGGAATCCTCCTTGGTACTGGACTGGTTTTCGCCATCCAGGGTGCCGTCTTTGGTGGCCAGCTGCTCTTTGACAAGGATCCCGAGGTACGGTCACGCACCAGCTACCTCTTGCAGATCTACGGAGGGTACTTTTTGATGCTGCTCCTGTTCTGCATGTTTTGTCTTAACTGTGCCATCTGGACGCGGAACAAGATCAACTACCCCTTTATCTTCGAATTCGATACTCGGCACAATCTCGACTGGCGGCAGCTCGCCGAGTTCCCTAGCTTGTTCACTTTCATCTTTGGAGTATTCATATGGCTCAACTTTAGCGAGTACGGCACGAACGAGGTGTATGAATACTATCCCGTGGTCCTGATTGCTATTTCCGTGTTCATCATCTTCCTCCCCGCGCCCATTTTCATGGCAAGGAGTCGAAGGTGGTTCGCGTACGCTCATGTAAGTTGTCCACCTCCTCTCTCTGCTACAGATATAACCTAATGATACGTGTAGTGGCGCCTGTTGCTGGCTGGTTTGTACCCAGTCGAGTTCCGAGACTTCTTCCTCGGCGATATCTACTGTTCCTTGACATACGCCATGTGTGTAAGTTCTCATCCATCTGGCCCCCCTGATATTCTCGACTGACCCTTTATCAGAACGTTGAGCTGTTCTTCTGTATATATGCCAACGCCTGGGAGAACCCAGCCCAGTGCAACTCCAGCCACTCTCGGCTGCTCGGCTTCCTAGGCGCCCTGCCTCCGATCTGGCGTTTCCTACAATGTCTGCGTCGTTACAAGGACACGAGGAACATCTTCCCTCACCTCGTCAACGGCGGCAAATACACAATGTCCATCATGGCCGCCGTCTCCCTCTCCATGTACCGCATCAACAACACCCACGGCCACCTCGCCATGTTCATAACCTTTTCCTCCATCAACGCAATCTACACATGTAAGCCCTCCTCTCCCTCATGCCATCGCCGGTCGTACATATACTGACCAAAGCCCAGCAATCTGGGACCTCTTCATGGACTTCTCCCTCCTCCAACCCCAATCCCGGCACTGGCTCCTCCGCGACATCACGGCCCTCAAGAAACGCTGGCCCTACTACTTCATCATGGTCATCGACCCCATCCTCCGCTTCGCCTGGATCTTTTACGCAATCTTCACCCACGACACGCAACACTCTACCATCGTCTCCTTCCTCGTCGCCATGGCCGAGGTCTCCCGCCGCGGCATGTGGACTCTCTTCCGCGTCGAAAACGAACACTGTGCAAACGTCGCGCAATACAAAGCCTCCCGCGACGTTCCCCTCCCCTATCGCATCGAACCCCTCGTCGCGCCCCGGTCTTCGATTGAAAGTGACGCTGGTAAAGATGGCAAGGTACCAGAGGAAACGACCAGCGAGGCCGCAGTAGCGCCCGCTGCTTCTACCGGCGGCGGCGCTACAACCACATCAGCTACCACAACCGCCAGACCGGCGGCATCATCCGACCCCCGCGCCGAGGAATCCGGCACGCTAAGACAGAGAGTCATGTCCGGCATCACGCCCATCCAGCGCAGCTTCTCCAAAATCATTGCCGAGGCGCACAGGCAGGATTTCGAAAAGAGGAGGAAGCCCGTCGACGCGGAGACGGAGCAGCTCGAAGAGGCGGGCGGGATGGCGAGCGATGACGACGACGAAGGGTCTGCTTCTGACGATGATGAGGAGGGGATCCGGTCGGGCGGGTCGGAGGCGGATTCAATGGAGATTCGGCAGGTGAACAGTCTTGTGCGCGATCGTGGGGGACGGTCGATCCATCATAATTAGGAGTTGGTATAGGGTCTCGGCGTAGGGTCTGCTTATGACTAATGAGTAGATTTTGGAGCATTATTAATTCGCATTAGCATTCTTGTCAGGATAACAGGAGGAACAGAAACAGTCTTTCAGAAATGGCTGCGTGAATGTTGACTCGGAACGTATCCAAAATGATGCGTCTAATTTGTGCTGGTACATATTGTATAAATCTACAAGCAATCGTAACTTCGTGCTCCTCTACGGTGACACCCACGCAGTACGCCACGCTTGAACAACCCCACTGATACTCCCCTCCCCCCCCCCCTGGCTACCAAATATCTAGAATACTTATATACGTTCACCTCTACTCCGTCCCATCTTGGTATAATCAAGAAACAACTACTGCCACTCCGCATCAACCTTTTCAAAGAGATCCAAGAACCCCTTGAAGAACTTGACGCCCAAACCAGGGTCCAACGCACCGGTCGTGGCGCGGATGGAGTGCATACTCAACTGCGGCAATCCCGCATCGGCAGCCCTTACACCCATGGCGGAGCTGAGCATGGGTCCGACAGTGCCGCCGCTGCGGGTATCGTTGCGGATCTGGAACGTCTGCGTCGCGGACCCGCTCAGCTCGCCAACACGCTGGAGAATGGCCGTGGAGACGGCGTCGGTGGTCATGTGGCCGTTGCTGTCGCCGCAGATGGCGATACCAACGTTGAGCTTGGGGATGTGCTCGTCCAGGTACAGGCCCAGGAAGTTGGGGTTTCCTGCGTGGGTCACGTCCGCGGACAAGAGGAAGGAGGAGGCAAAGGTCTGGCCGATAACATTTGAGCCAAAAGCAACGTCGGCGTGTTCGCTCAGGGCCTCAACGGCGCGCTCGATTGTGAGAGGGAGGAAGTTGCCTCGGGCGCCCTGGCGGAGGAGGGATCCGATTTCCTCGTCGTCAAAGAGAGCCACGAGCTTGATAATGCCATCCTTAGGGTCCGAGTCGGCCGCGAGGAGACCGGTGAGGGCGGCCCAGGAGCAAACCTTGTCGTCGATGCGGCCGCCAAAGATGAATTCGCGGTCGAGGCCACCCGTCTGCGCGGGCTGGGAGTCGTAGAGCTCGAGTTCCCAGTTTACGATTTCGGTAGGGGAGGCGAGGCCAAGCTCCTTGGAAACGAGCTTGACGAGCTTGGGGGGCTGGGTGTTGACGAAGGCGCCCTTGGGGCCGAGGGGTTCGACGGGGGTGGCGGAGGCAGCGTCCGGGTCGGAAGAGTCGAGGCCGATGATGGGAACGGCCTGGGTCTCCGGGTTGTTTTGGCCCATCATGCCGACGCCGAAGTGGGGTGCGAGGGTGGGGATGCGGGCGATGGGCCAGTCGAGGCGGACGAGCTTGGTAGACGTCTTGTTGGTCTCGGGATCGCGGACGATAACACGGCCACCGATGGAGAGGTCGCGGTCCCACCAGGTCTGGTTGAGAGCGCCGGCGTAAGGGGCGACGCCGAGCTGGTGATACCCGGCACGGGTGGGCTTGGAGCTGACAGGCTTGAGCTTGGCGGTGAGGGCGTCAATGTGGCCGGCGATCATGGCGACGCCGTTGCCGGGCTTGTAGGACTCGCCGACGGAGAAGGCGATAAGGGCAGAACCATTGCGGGTGGTCCAGTATTTGCCTCCGGGCTGGACCTTGGAGGCCCAGCTTTCGCGGGCGGGAAGCTCAGTAAATCCTGCAGCAGCGAGCTTGTCCTTGAAGTAGGAGACGGCGTGGAAGATTGTGGGGTTCTCGGACAGGAAGTCTACAAAGGGCTGGGTGTAGGCCTCTGGCTTACTGGCGGCAACGGCGCAGAGCTTGCAGGCGGCCGGGTTGGCGGCGCGAACGGTCTGACGGACCTCGCTGTAGCGGAGGGTGTTCCAGCAGGACTCGCAGACGGGGTTCTGGGAGGCTGGACGACCGTTCATGTCGGCGAGGAGGAAGTGCTTCGAAGCCGGGCCGGGGGCGGCGGTGGTGGTAGTGGAGGCGGACATGGAGGGCGCGGGAGATTGAGAGCGCGAGAGAGCTTCGGCGTGCTCCATTGCTTGGAGGCGGAGAGAGAGGGAAGAGACGCGGGAGCGAAGGGAGTCGGGAGTGTGCTTGGTCATGCCGGGCGAAGCGTGGAGAGGATGTGTTGCTTGAACGGTGGCGTTTGAGTTGGTGATAAGGAAGCGGTTCATTGACCCTCAATACGATGCACGCTGCCTGAGGATTGGAATGGGTGAGGTTGCGCGATACTGTGGAGGATAGGTGCGTGGTTGATGTTGTAGAGAGTAGAAGAATCAAGGTCAGACAGACAAGGTGACAAGGTAGAAAGAGGCGGAGTGGGAATCGTAGAGGTTGGCCGTTGAAGACACCTCAGCTGGAGCTTCCCGTCCGAGTCGGTCACAGGCACAACACGGCAGGCGCAGGAACGAGAGGCACGGGGCAGCTGGAACCTAGCGGATCTGCGACCCGCCGGAAGCTTCGATTGGCTCCGACGAATGAGCCTACGCCGATACGGGCCGACATGTCTGGGGTTTTTGTCTTATCGCCCGCGGTTTCTTACCTAAGCAGGCAGAAGAGGTGCTTATCGCACAGCGTTGGATCCGTTGCCATGGGGCCCAGTGAGGGGGCACGGGGCAGAGCTTGGCCATTTCAAGCAGGTCACTGCGCCGCAGCTGGCGGGTAATATGATTAGCTAAGCCACGATAATGACTCTGCGCAATTTGGGTTACAATGGCGTCATTGGACTTCAAGTTCGCAAGGTGATGTACCTTTACGCAGTACTTCAAGGTGGACAATCATGATCGCCCTCGATTTCAGTCACTGAAGCTTCATTAATTTATCTTGAACTAAGGTACCTTACATCACGTAAACACCTGACTGGTAGAGGTGCCATACCTCGCGTGGAAACAATGGATTGTATGCATTCTGAACAAGTAGCCATCCACTACTACTGATATCATTAGCAATCGCAAGGTGGATGTTTTTTTACTTGTTTCGTAATCCCTTACTCGTCTTCTTCTCTTGAATGGGTCCCTCCATCTTAAGTCCGTATGGGACCAGGGGAAAGCCATCATCTAGAGGCCAGATAGTATCCGAGCAGCGCGTTAACTGCACCTGCTCCAGAAATGATCCCGCTATCCAATGAAGCACTGGTTGATGACAAAGTTCATGCCAGAGTAAGGTACCTATGTAGGTCCCTGGATACCTTCCACGTAACCTTTGTCAGACAACGTGTATTGCGTGAACAGTAACGCTTAGAGCTGTTGGCATCAGGATGGACATTGATAATCCGGCCCGGCGTCATAAGCCCGGGAGGAATACGAGCCAAGGAAAGGTGTCGGAGGCGATTGGCTCAATGGCACTGAGAAATGCGGGCGGAGGCACCGGCGGCCGGGCGGAGAAGCGGGGCGCGTGGGTATCTCCGGATCGGCCCCTCTGCAGTGTTACTCTTCCTCCGCTTGCACTAACCCGCACTCGTATTCCAAGACGGTCCCTCACGAAGTTCCTTCTAGAAGTCTTTTTACGGGCATGGACGATGAGCTCTTGACGTTCATTCACCTAGACTATACCAGCGGCAGTCATCTCTTACACACCCTACCTTGGAAAGGGTACACACACATACCAAATTCAAACATGATACGTCCCCATTTCCGAATCGGGCAACCCGTAGGAGCTTCGAACCACCAACCCCATTTCCCCGCCACGCTAATAGCTTGCAGGGCCGCTGCGTGTAAGATTCTTGTGATACCTCCGATATTTCCGTACAGAGGAGATCGACGGGTGAGAGAAAGCCACCAAACGCTCGTGGCTTTGTTCGTTTTCCAATCTGACGAACACAACCCCCCTCGTTTCCTCATTATGGAAGTCTCACTGCTGGTAGCTTTGGACGGTGCGAAAATGTAAGGGCATAGTAGTCCCTTGGACTAGACTACGTGTCTTGCTAGGAAACGATAAAAGGGGCTGCCGTCTCCCGCTCTTGAAGATTCCGAGGACAGACTTACACGAAACTCAACCACAGTTGAAAGCTTTCCTACTCACCATACAAACTTACACAGTTTCAAACTTCCAGAGTCTAATTAGCGACAATGACGACAAAGACAAAGCAGCGAACCCGCGTCCCAGTCCGCACCCTACCATCCCACATCCCCGCAGTCCCTCCCCTCGACGGCGAAGAAAACATCAACGCCGCAAAGGAAGCAGCTTCCTTCCTCAACATCTTCTCCTCCGCCATCCGCGAGGGCGATTGGGACGCCTTTGGAAACCTTTTTGCCGAAAAGTGCTTCTGGAGAGACCACTTGACTCTCACCTTTGACAAGCGAACGATCCATACACGGGACGATGTCGTTGCAGCGTGGAAGACTCTCTCCAAAACACGGCGGCCCTTGGCCTTCTCGAGTGACAAGGACAAGGACATGGATATGGACGCCGTATGGGCGCGTCTGGGCCCCGTGTTCGCGACGCTAGACGTGCCGTTCAGTTTCCGTACCGAGGCGCCGGCGTCAAAGTGCATCGGCCTCGCCAAACTCATCCCCGGGCCGGATAACAAAGGCTGGCAGATCTGCGTCCTGACAACAGCCGTAGTCGAACTCGAAGAGAAACCCTTTGGCACTCTTCCCCGAACAAGCCCATCCCTAATCGAGCCTTCTCAGCGCGGCAACCCCCACGCACAAGGTCTCCCCCGCCTCGACGGCAACGCAGTCCTGGACGCCGTCGTCGTAGGCGGAAGCTGCACCGGTATCGCCAACGCAATCCAGCTCGACGCCGCGGGCGCAAACGTAGCCGTCTTCGACGCCGAGCCTCAGGCGGGCGGGAACTGGTCGACGAAGCGGTACGAGAACGTCACGCTCCACCACCCCGCTTTCATGATCCAGCTGCCGCGGTTCCCGGTGCCCGAGGGGTATCCCAAATATCTCAAGGGTACGGATCTCACGCGGTACTTTTCGTCGGCGGTTGAGGAGCTCGGGTTGCCTTTCTTCGGCGGGGTCGCTGTGACGAAGAACACCTGGAGCGAAGAGGAGAAGGTCTGGACGGTGGAGGTCAGGGACGTGAAGACGGGGGAGGAGATGACGCTCAAGGCGAAGAATCTACTCCTTGCCAACGGCTTCCTCGTCGGCAACGATAACCCCCGCGTCCCGAAGCTGAAAGGCAGGGAACTCTTCACGGGACCGGTGCAGCATACGTCAGAGTACCGCAACCCGGCAGACTACAAAGGCAAACGCGTCCTCATAGTCGGGGTAGGTAACTCGGCGCACGATGTCGCAGGCAACCTCGCTTCAGACCCGGACGTCAAAAGCGTTACGATACTCCAGCGCAGCCCGACGGTGCTCCTCGACTTCGCGACGGTGGCGCCGATCCTTATGATGCGGTACCAGGGCGACATACCCGTCGACACGGCGGATTTCCTGCAGGAGTCGCTGCCGGTCGGGATCATGCGGGACATGGCGCGCGGGGCGATCGGGATGGCGATCGCGGGGGCGGAGGATAGGAGTCTGGCGCTCGAGGGGCTGGGGTACGCTGTTGAGCGGGATACGTGTTTGATGACCAAGGTGTTTGAGGAGCGAGGCAGCTCGTTCTACGTTGACCAGCCGGGGACGTTTGATCTCGTGTTTGGGGGGCGGATTCAGATTGCGAGGGGCGATGCTGTTGGGTTCGTGGAGGATGGTGTCGTGGTGAGGGATAGGGAGACGGGGAACGAGAGGGTTGTTGAGGCGGATGGGGTGGTGCTGGCGACCGGGTATGAGGTTGTGGATTTGCCTGCCAGGTGGAAGAGGAGTGGGTTCGTTGATGAGGAGACGGCGGGCAAGTTGGTGAATGTGAGTGCTTTTGGGGTGGATGAGGAGGGCGAGGTTCCTGGGCTTACAACGTTTTCTGGCCGTGAGTATCTTTGCTTCTCTTTCTGGTGTTGGTGTTTAAAGATCACGGTGCTAACTTGAGTTTGAACAGATTCGAATCTCTACTTTGCCGGCATGGCCATTTCTCAGTGCCGAACCAGCGTAAGTCCTCACTCACGGAGAAACACTAGCGATATGATCTTGGCTGACTTTGTTATTTGTAGTCCAGATACACGGCCGTTCAGGTGCTAGCTGATATCATTGGACAATTTCCGGAGAGATATAATCGTAGCTACTTGAAGTGAGGCTCAGCGCTCAATTCTGCGGCTTCTGACCGACGGAGAATATCCCTAGAACATGAGAAATTCCGGGATTTGCGATGATGCTGTATGCGATATTGTCGAAATAGAATCATTGATGAAACTTTACTCACAGTTGTGAATTTGAGATGTGATATGAAGGCCACTTGGGGGCCAGAGTTGGGCAGACTTTATTGTTAAGCAACAACTTCCCCTCACCTTGTGACTGGTTCAAACGTGTCAACCTTTCACCTCACTACACTCTGGTTTTGGGACTCGGATTGCAAGCCTACACTCCAGAAACATCAAGGAAAATGACTGCGAAATCGCCGCCAAAAGTCGAGCGGACGACCATCGCGGGGTCAATCGAGATACCCCGCATCCTAAATGGCCTCTGGCAACTCGCCGGCGGGCACGACCAGGATATTAACGTCGCGGCAGCAGCAGACGCGATGAAGCCCTTGTACGACATGCATCCTCAAATTCAACTGTACGGAAGCTTACTGACATCCTTTGGCAGAATCCAAGCTGGCCTCGATGGCTTCGACATGGCAGACCACTACGGCCCCGCAGAGCTCGTCATCGGCCACCACAACCACAATGACAACTACACTTTACCCCCCATCACGGCCTTTACAAAATGGTGTCCCGCTGAGACAGGCGACAAGTCCTTCAAGACAGCAGAGGCAGCCGTCGATCTCGCCCTCACAAGAATGGGCCAGAAGCAGATCGCGCTGATGCAGTACCATATTTGGGACTACACCGACGACACGTACCTCTACAACCTATCTCACCTGCGCACTCTCCAACAACGGGGCAAAATTGCACATATAGGACTCACCAACGTCGACGCGGCACATTTAGAGCTTCTCCTTCACTCTGGCCACGAAATCGCCACGAACCAGGTCTCGTGCTCCGTTATCGATCGCCGGTTGACGAGGGGCCGGATGGCGGGGGTTTGTGAGCGGCACGGGGTTGGTGTCTTGACGTATGGGACATTACTTGGAGGCTTTCTGAGTGAGAAGTGGGTTGGCAAGCCGGAGCCTAAGGATGACGGGCAGGGGATGAATTGGAGTCTGAGAAAGTATCTTCGCTTCATACACGCCGCGGGAGGCTGGGACGCCTTTCAGCGTGCTTTGAGCGCCGTTGCCGATATCGCGAAGAAGCATGGCGTTTCTGTTGCGGCGGTGGCGGTGAGGTGGGTGCTTGATATACCTGTCGTGAAAGCAGTCATCATCGGGGGGAGGTTGACTTCCGAGAGCGGGAAGTACGCCGAGGCGAACCTCGCGGCGTTTGGGTTCTCACTGGATGAAGAAGACAGGAGAAAGATTGAGGCTGCGCAGGAAGGGTTGGAGGATATACCGGGTGATTGCGGTGACGAGTACAGGAGGCCACCGTTCTTGACGGCTTTGGGGGATTTGAGCCATCATCACCTTCCGAGGAAGAACGAGCTGGACGAGGTGGAAAAGGCTATTGCTAGGGGGGAGAGGGTTGAATTCCGCTCTGGCGGGAAGTGGGAGCCCGTTGCTGGGTACTCGCGTGCCGTGAGATTTGGGAGCGTGTTACGGGTGTCTGGGACGACGGCGAACCCGCCACCTGAGCTCCAGCCTGGGCTTGCTGCGGTGGTTGGAGGAGTTTCTGCTCGGGCTCAGGCGGTGGCAGCGCTGGATATTATCGAAGGAAGCCTTAAGCGGTTGGGAGGGAGCATGGCGGATGTGGTGCGGACGAGGGTGATGCTCCGGCGGGAAGAGGATGTTTTGGAGGTATCAGAGGCCCATGGATGGGCTTTCAAGTGTCATGGGATTCGGCCGGCTAATACTACGATCACGGCTGGACTGATTGGGGATGAGGTGCTTGTGGAAATTGAAGTTGAGGCGGAGGTCGGTAGTGGCAAATCTGTCTTGGTGATTGGAGAGGATCGTAGAGCTCTTTGAGAATACCTGCAAGATATCCGTCCACGTACGGTTTATACTTCACAGGATGATCGTATTGGCACACCTTACTGATAATCACTGGCCGGAGCCATTCTTGTGTCAAAAATGACTTATACAAACATGATAGAAGGTCAAGAATCAAAAAATGAAAGGGACGAGACTCGAACTCGCGCGGGTTGCCCCACCAGGAAACAGATGTTAAGCTGACCTTAACCTGGCGCCATAACCAACTCGGCCACCCTTCCGTACGATGATCAGAAGATCTTAGATGTCAGAATCACGCAAGTCAGGACCCAAGAATCATTTCTGTAATCAGTAGTGGTCCCCGTTTGTGCGCAGGTCTTCGAGTGCCCGCGTAAAGAAAAGAAGCTGCCGACTGGCCGTGGCGGGGCAAAGCCGAAAAAAAAGAAAATTTCGACGGGGCTGAGTGGGTCCTCGTCCGGACCGAAGCGAGAAGCCAATGAGACCAATGCCCTAGGTACGTATACAGAGGGGGGCGGGTCGGGGGGTCGGAGGCTGCAGGGACCGACGATGACGTTCGTTCCCTGTCACCTTCGCTTTCTCTCTTTTTCTCGTCAGTCTTCCTTTTCGCAGTCCACTTTGATTGAATGAATGGACCATCGACCAATTCAATTCGACAATTGAGAGGACTACTAGTTCGAGAATGCGATCGATACAGACCAAATTCAACATGCCAAGTCTTCAAAGAGTCTGGGCTGCTTCGGCCGCCAATCACGCACCTCGGCCACCAAGGAACCTCCCTGTTCCCCGCCGTGATGGAGTCTTAAGGTGGTCGCATCTTTTTTTGGGAATGGGAACCCCAAACTGATCGCGATCGAGATAGCGATAAGACGTTGGCGATTTTTGAACGACGAGACGTTTAAGTCCAGCGAGTCTATGCGCGCCTAAGAAGCTTGAGAGTAATACCTGGCCGAGATTAATAAGAACCCAACGTTCATGCGCCGCCCCAAAAGGAACCACACACGCCACAACACGTCAATCGCGAATAGCAACTAGAGCACCGCCAAGAAATATTCTTCATTCGATGGATACATAGACTCTGCGGGAAAAGGAACCGGAGCCGCCGTTACTCACGTCCCACTCGTTCCTACGTGCCTTGATCATCTCGGTCTCGGGATGGCCGCAAATGGGAAGAAGCTTCGTCCACAGAGTACACACTACACAGTATACAGAGAGCAGCAGCGCGATGAACCAACGCCAGAGCTTTTTCCAGCTTCGCCTCATTTCTGTCTGCTAATCCGTTTTGGCTGACCGAGGCAAGAAATTTCTGGCGCACAAAGCTCCAGCTCGCACGACTCAACACACCTGTGGTATCCGTACCTTACCTAAAGTACGAACAGATGGATGACGTTTCCCCCTCGGGCAAGTGGCCACAAGACCATCTCGGTCCAGAGTGCGCGATTGGCTCCAGAGAGACGGAAGCAGCCTTTTTGTCGGGTTTCTCTGCTTTGCTAGTTGCCTCTCTCCACTGGCCTCTTCCTAGAGGTTCAAGGGAGGGGGTGTTCGTGCCGTCTCTCATATTCAAAAGGAGGTCTGTCCGCTGTCTGACTTGTTAGCTCACACTTACCTTGGAAGTTGAAATGACTTCTGCAACTTTTCTGCAAGGAACATTACGGCATTGAAATCAACAACAGACAAGTTTTGGAGCACCAGCTTACCAAGGACCTTGTTGACTTTGGAGTGAGGCTGGCTGCCAACAGGGAACACTGCTCCGAGCTAATTGTCATCGGGTTTCGAAATCCCATCGGGACACTGCGCTTCTGTCGACTAATTCGCTCTGCTTCCGCTCTCCCACCTTGCTTGACTTTCAATCCTTTGGCTGCCACGGCCATAAGTTCCAACTTTTTATTCGTCGCCTCGTTACAGATACATCCTCTAGTGCTTGCTTAGCTGCAAAAACTCACTACACGACGGAATACATTAGTGCTATACAAGCTCCCGCCGGATATTGCCGAAGCTTCATCTGTTTCCAACGAAGTACGGCTACAGCAATCCCATCTCGATCGATCCCTAAAGAATACGCCGGTTCCCACCCCTATTATAATATCCCTGCTATCGGTCTGCTATTCGTACACGCTGTCAACGGTCTAGACGGATACATCTGAGCACCTCAGCTGACGACGGCTTGCATTGATCACCGCATTGAAAGACGGGACCAACTTGCATCGACGGAAACATTGGTTTAAAACACCATCGCGACACACGCATATCCGACCGCGAAAAGCTTGTAAGAGCTTGCAAGAGAGCACACAGCAACACAGGAACACAGGACCAGCAATAACTTTGTCGGACTCAACGTGAAACTCTCTTCTCTTTCAACCCTTGAACGAACCACTCACCCCGCCGGCGCAATCCCATACGTATGAATACCTTGGTTCTTCACCTAATTACGAATACCCCCGGACTCGATCCCGTGATTTTTCCCCCCCTCCCTGCGTCCTAATTCCTCCCAACGTCGGCTTGCGCTTCGATTTATCCCTTACGTTCACCCACACCTCAGACCGACAGCTCAACGCGCAGAGTGCAACATAACGCACCGCAACGCAACCCAGCGCAAAGCAATCACCATAGCGACAGTCGCATCTCGAAAAGTAATTACCAGAAACACAGCAAGACGACGCCACAACAGCCATGTCGCCTGCCGCGCAAGCGCCCCCGACGGCCGCCGAAAAGGTCGCGTCCTTCTTCTCTCGCATGAGCCCCGTGCCGTCCTTCCCCGACTACACCGGCCCGCACAAGGTCGGCACCGTCGACATTGAGATCCCCGTCTCCGAGTTGGAGTCGCCCAGTCCGACCCCCTACAGCGCAACAGACATCCACACCGTCCAGTGCCGCGTCTTCTACCCCGCGGTTCCCGAATCCAACGGCAAGCGCATCAACTGGCTGCCGTCGCCCCAACGGCAACATGTCTCTGCCTACACCCAGTTCATTGGCATCCGGCCCATGCTCGCAGACATTGTCTCGTATGTACCCCCTCTTCCTCGAACGCTCCTCTAGTGCCTGCGCAAAAGGTGCTGTACTGACCTGAGCCTACAGATTCCTCCCGCGACATCTGCACTATACCACCATTCCCGTCCACAAGAACGCCGAGATCCTCGATCCAGACACCCCGAACCGACGATGGCCGACAATGATCTTCTCCCACGGCCTCGGCGGCAACCGGAACACATACTCCCACCTGGCAGGCTCCCTCGCCTCCCACGGCATCGTCGTCATCTGCCCCGAACACCGCGACGGCAGCGCCGTGGCTTCCTTTGTCCGCATCCCCGGTAAACAAGACCAGTACTTCATGCGCGACACCCGCCGCGTGATTCCCTACGTCCGCATAGATCACGACGCCCGCCCCGAAATCTACGAAGCCCGTGAAGATCAGTTGCGGATCCGTCTCTGGGAGCTCGGCATGATCCATATGGTCACCCTCAACATGGACCTCGGCCTCGCAATGTCCAACCTCAACAAGTCCACGCCCAGCTTGACCCAGTTCAAGAACAAGCTCCACGTCCATGAGCCGGGCTGCATCATCTTCGGCGGCCACAGCTTCGGCTCCGCCTCCATTGTCCAGCTTCTTAAGACGACCTACTACGCCGAGTCCTCCGCCCTCGCACACGTCCAGAAACCCCTCTTCACACCGCGACCGGACTCGGCCCTGTGCAGGCAAATCACACCAAAGAACGTCACCATGCTCCTCGACATGTGGTGCTTCCCGCTCCTCGCCCCGGGATCCGCAGACCTCTTCAATCTGCCCCTCCCAGCCTACGCAAACACGTCCACCGCGCCGGGCGGCAACGCCATCCTGGCCGTCGAGTCCGACGCGTTCTACAAATGGACAGACCACCTCCATGTCACCGCCCGCGTCCTCTCTCCGCAACCCTCAGCGTCGGTGATCACGCCACAAATCTTCCGCCGCAGCGGCGTCAGCCTGCCCGAGCCAAACTTCTTCTACGTCCGCTCCTCTGCGCATCTATCTCAGTCCGACTTCGGTATCCTCTTCCCCTGGCTCACCAAAAAGATCTTCAACTCGGAGGAGCCGGAGCGCGCCCTGCGCCTGAACCTGCGCGCGCAACTGCAGCTCATGCGCGCAAACGGCGTCCCCGTGGCGCGGACATGGATAGGTGACCTCGTCGACGGCACGGGGTCCGGGAAGCTGGGTATCTCTACAGACGAGGACGGCGATAACGGGCCTGATGATGGTGTCATGGACGATAAAGTCATCTTTGAACGTTGCGAGGGCAAAGTGCAGTACTGGAACTGGATCGACGTCATTGGCATGGGCCAACCTGATGAAGAAGAGGAGGAGGCGCCACCGCCGGCCGACGGCTCGACGGCAGCCACTGCTACGACAGCGACGAATGGTGGTGGTAGCGGGCCGGGTGTGAATGCGCAGATTGCGGGGGTGGAGCAGACGGATCGCGATATGGAGGATGAGTTGGAGCCGCTTCAGGCTGTGGCGAGCGCGGCGCAGATTGCGGCGAGGTCATGACTTCGTGTGCGCTTGTGAGCAATGACTAGGGAGGAGGAGACCTCGGTACGAGGTGGTGAGTTGCATAAACTACACGGGGTCCAACGATTGACTGCATCACGAGAGTATTATTGTTGTATTTTTAGGAGATTAGCGTAATTAGCATCCTGTGCGTCTTGGAGAGCACCTGCAGATACCACGATTAGAATAGTATATATATACATCTCGTTTCTTGAAGATGTTAGTTTGTAAAGGTGGAATTGCACGTGTGTTGCGAAGCAGATGAAATGCACGAGGAATTCGTGTAAGTCTATTGCAGCCCGGAGGTTGTCCAATTCACTAGCTCGTCTTCACATGTCTTCAAATCCCATCTACTACCAATCTTAGATCATTTCTCCGCAATTGGAAGATCCGATGAGGCTTGTTCTACCTAATTACCTATGACGGGACCATCCGCGTTAGTAAGTAAGGTGGTAAAGTACTATAGGCGTAGTTTGTGTCCCACGCTGTGGCCCTCGGCTTGTAAGTCATACACGTCATCAAAGATGAAGGCGTCAAAGACCGCGCGACGCCACGGCTGGCATTCTATCATTCTGCAACGGCCTCGTCTGCTGGTAGGAGAGTAGTTTAAAACGGAGCTGTGTTTCCCTATAGCCAGAATTCGATATCTCTACTTATCGATAGAGACGATTAGATTTCCCAAATAGACAAAATGGCTCCCGTAAGTTGCTCACTCTCAAGCACATCCCCGGCTTGCACTCGGTCCACGTCCCAACGTACCTACATACTAACACCACCTCACCAGCAGCAGAAACAGCCCGAACGCCTCAAACACGTCGCCGCAAAGGCGAACTCCTCCAACCCATCACAATTAGGCGATCCCGTCTCCCTTAAGGCCGAGGTCTCCAAGCTCTCGCCGACGGAAGGGGACCTCGGCGCGGCAGCGGACTCGAAACCGCGCTCCGGTACGCAGTCCAAGGGCAGCAGCGGTGACGGTAGTTCCACAGGCGCGAAGAACTCGGATGGATCGCCCGTCCAGGACTACGACAAGAGACGGTTGAAGGACGTTGCTAAGGAGGACCTCGAGAGCGGAAACCCGTCGCAGCTGGGGGATCCCGTTAGTCTCAAGGCTGAGGTTACGAAGAAGGATCCGGCGCCGGGGAGGGCTGATGGGCAGAGGGTTGAGAAATCTAAGCTATGATGGGTTTCGTGGTATTGTTGAGTGAGGGCTGTAGCAATTGATTATAATTCGGTCATCTGTGGCGTTTTTGGTCGTTTTCAGTGTTCGTTCCTCTTCACTTAATCATTGACTTGGGGATAGGCTCAAAGCCTGGCCGCGCTGGAGTCGGCCATTTGAGACTATGTTCTCTTCACCCGAGATTCCCATTATCTTTGTAATTAAGAGAAATATATCGCCGCACAGTAAAAGGGTTGACTTCTCTAACTAGCTCCGGGCTGGCCAAGCCACTTTCTCCTGAGTTCATGATAATCATCTCAGAGGGTAGGCCTCGAGCTAGCACGCCACCCGCCACCAAGACAGGCGCTCGCGCCGATTTGGCTCCCTTCCAATATATGTCCTCCTCTCTGAGTCTCTACCAAAATCCCAGTTGCTCGCCTAGTATGATTGTGATGAATCACCTACCAATGCTCACCTATAGATGGTCTCAATGTAAACAACTGACCTACTTCGACAATTAATGGATCTTCTCAACTCAGCTCCCTCTCTTTGTATACCTACAAGAATACGCAGCAGACAACGGAATTGAGAGACAGACAGTAGATTCGTTCCGACTGGTTAAGACGTCGGCGGGTGCGGCACAGAAACACAACAAGTTTTTACCATCAGTCGATGCGCATATACTCAATATTCGCGAGACGCTCAACTCTTGCGTCACTAGTTGATTTGAATTACTTTGCTTTATTCGCTTAAAAGGACTCGAGACTCGACGTCTCCAAGTATCGTTCAGGGATCAACTATTTGCCTCCGGTCAAAGTGCCGTTCGTGCAAGGGATGCCGAGGCCTGTAGCTCCTTCCAGTCCAACACACTCCATCTCACCTGCGCTGCCATCCTATATACTGTTAGCAAGACTAATCCCTCATCATAGTTTCCCCTGTGAAGACTTACAGCTGCGACGAGGGTGATGTCCTTGAAGGTGAAGTCCTGGCAATGCGCCGCGTCTTTGCACATAAGGTACAAGCCCTTCTTGGTTGAGGCGCCTGAGAATCAAAGCAACGTGTTAGCAGTTCCTCGTAGATGTGTCGTTGAGTAAGGTATAGTTTGAACTCGTTAGTACTCACCTAGACTTTGACTCCAGCATGGGCTAGAGGTACAGCTGCCGTCCTTGAGACCCGAGCCAGTATGCGCCTTGATATTCTCCCAGCGGAAGTTCTTGGCAAACGCAGCCAGCGAAGCATCCTTCCCGGCAGCGCCCTTTTCTTGATCGACATAGTCCTCGATAAAGTGAATGGGGTAAGCAGTGTTGGTAATTGTGAAGTTGCGCCAGGTAACATCAGAAATCTGGCACGTCGTGCCCACGGAGCCCTTGAAGCGAGCTCCCAACAGCGAGTCGTGGATCTCTGCGTTCTCAAACAGGTACCCGCTACCCGAGCCAGACGCGCAGGAGACCGAGATTCCGTGCGTGCCGTATCCGACGACGTTGCGCATAGTCACATTCACAGCCGGCGGAGAGACGTTGATGATGTCGTCGCCGTTCCAGCTGGTCCACCCATCGATGACAATATCGGAACCGCCAACGTCAATACCGTCCGTGTTGAAAGGGAACGCAGTCTTGGACCGCGCGTCCAGCACGGTGTCAGTCATGTAGACATCCTGCCCGCTTATCGAGAAGCACCACGCGACGGGGTTTAGAATCTTGAGGCCCCGCAGCCGCAAACTCGTCACACCGAACGAGAACATGTGCGGGCGCCCATTATTGCTGCTGACGTTGGCGCTGGACCACCACTTATCGCCGTGGCCGTTAATCCAGCCGCCGCCCTGGGCATTCGAAGCCGTGAAAGTGACGCCCTTGCTGTCGGCGACGGTGATCCAGTGGCCCGGGTAAATGGAGCGGTTGTTGACCACGGCGGAGACGGCTGCCGGGTCGTCTGAGAGGGTGAGGTTGCCCTCGATTTGGAACTCTACGTTTGTGAGGCCGGAAAACTTTAGAGGGGTGAGGAGGCTGTATTCCGTGCCGGCGCTGAAGACGACGCGGGAGTTGCTGCCGCAGGATTTGACTGTCGAGAGAATGGTCGGGGCGTCGTCGCCTTTGGACTTGGGGACGACGCAGGTCTTGAACTGGTCTTTGCCCAGTGTCTCGGGTAGCCAGTAGCCAGACGCCAGAGAGGCGAGGAATGCAATGCTAAGGAGTGGATGTTGCATGGTGACAACTACTGTTAAAGAAAGGCGTGGTTGGAGAGCTGCTGTCTACTACATCTCAGTACGCTACACATATTGGCTTATATATGTCTTGGCATGCTTGGCAACTCAAGGTCTTCTAGTCCATCATCTTGTCAAGTCAAGATGGACTCCTCTAACTAACTTTCACTGGCGCGACGTGGGCGTAGGTTTTCCCTGGGTTAGATTGAGCACCTGCGTCAAAGAAGAAGCATAGGACGAACCCTCATCCCAAGCAGTCTTCGCGCGGGCTGCGACACCTCCAACCCAAGCGGCCTCCCTTCATCACTCACGAGTCAACATAGCCTACGAATTACACGTGTGGAGTGCTCGGAACCCAATGGCAGAAGTTCTCCGGATAATCGGCCTGAGAGTCGGAGAGCACGGTGATTAAACAGCGTTGTCTGTGACCAAAGTAGGCAACGTAGGCGCAGCGCAGCCAGGTACCCCAGATGAGAAGCACTCACGCAGAAAGCTTGTCTCGTCTTCATAAACCCGAGTTGCAGGGTTCGACGCCTGGGCCAGCCCGCCAGCGTTGCGCGACTCGTAGTTCTGAATCGCACCAACAGCAATCTACATGTTACACGGCCGAATGAACCTTCGCCTGACTCTTTCGTCTGGCTTCTCGAGAGAAGCCTTTTTCGTATTGTTCAATCCGACACTACCGATGTAATCTACTTCAATTTCGCCGCTTGCCGACTTCCCGGGCCCGACAACTTGGACGCTTACCTATCTTTCTCACACGTGCCCAGTCAAATTGTGAAAGCCCGGTCATGAACCATTTACCACAAGCATCGAGTTCTCTCACATAGGAAGCAGGCGTTTCAGCAGCACTTTATCGGATGACGGCTGTTGAAGCTTGGGCGGTGGCTTTAAATCAAAGCGGATAGACTACTAACGGGCACCAGTACTCGAAGGGAATCTCATGCGTAAGACACGAAGAGACATAGGCATGTTGAGACTTTTGTCTTCCTACCATCTACTAAGCCTACTAACGCCGCTGCCACCGGTGGCCCAGAGAGCAATTGTGCATCCATGCGAAATACCGTCCGAGAGAAAGAAAATGGAATAATCCACTATACGCCGCCCTTATGCCATCATATCATAACCGCCCGAAAGGCGCAAAGGCATGTAGTACGTGCAATAGAATCCACCACTATTGTGGGTGGCTCGTAAAAGATGCTGGGGCCTTCGCCCATCCGGCTTGTGCCTTCCCTCAACCGACAACAATCTCAAAGACCCGGAACAAAAGTAAGAAACGAAGTCCATACTCCTCCCAAATAACATGAACAATGGCGGACAATAAACTGTGGGTGGGATAAACATGTCCGCCGAGGTATCCTCATCGAATCAGAATAGTACGCCTTCCCTTTTTTTCATACGCCGAATTCTCACAGCATGCCAATGCTCTCTCTCTCTCTCTCTCTCTCTCTCTCTCTCAAACGTCGAAACCTGACTTGATAGCCCAGGAGCCTGCAAGCCCTTTACCGCCGACCTTTTCGGCAATCATGGCGATGGCTTCCTTCAGGTCGTTGCGGGAAATCTTGGCGTGAGCAAGTGCAACGTACGAGAGATCGACCAGGCCACCCTTGGCGATCTTGGGATTCGCCTCAATAACCTTCTTGAGCTCCTGGAGATTGTTGTTCTCCAAGATTTTCTTCGGCAGCGACTGTACGCTGTTCTTTGTGCTGCCGCAGGTGATTGCTTTGAAGGCATCGGCCGGCTTCGAGTCTATAGCAGGCTTATCCTTTGCCGCTTGGGTCTTAACCGTCTTGTCCTTAATCGCTTGAGCCTTGGCAGTCTTGTCTTTAGGTGGACGACCGGCAGGCTTGGGCTTCGGTTCGGGTTCCCAGTATTCCGTCGAAAAGGGATCGATACTGTGGTGGTGTTCGAGGCTCTCTTCAAAACATGTGTTAACGCTGCTATATGAGCGGGAGACGGGATATAGCTTACCCAGAATGAATTCCATCCTGTGCTCGTACACGGTGCGGTTAGGACCCTTGCGTGTGCGATCCTCCCAGCAGAGGCCGGTGCTCTCCGGTTCGAGGCCGTTGGCACTCACGAACCGAGCAGGGCCGTTGTCTTCCGAGTCGTCGAGGAACTCGTCCATGTCTTCGCCGTCGGCATCGAGATCCTCATCGTCATCATCGTCGATATCGACGTCCTCACCTTCACTTTCCCACTCGGCTTCCGAGTCGTGGTCATAGTTTACGGGGAGTTGGTCGCGGCGGATGGGGTTTCGAGCGAGGCGTCGCATGCCAGATTTGCCTGCTTGATAGGGTCTGAGGGTGACGGTACCTCTGTAAGGAGGCCGCACATCCTGATAGAACTTAAGTGACTTTGTAGGGACCTTCCTCAGCGCATCTGCAATATCCTTTACAATCGCCTTCTTATCCTCTTCGCTGTTTGCTTCTTGTGTGAGCTTTCGCATCTTTTCAATGCTGAACCGCACTGGCGGGTAGATTCTGCCTCGCGCAGCAGGACGACCGGGAAGCTGGAAAACCTCGATAGCATCAAAGCCGCCCGCTTGGGTTGACTTTCTCTTTCCATCAAAGTACTCTCCCAATATCCTCGTCTTGGCCTCGTGTGCCTCGTCGTCCATCTCGAAGGGGCTCTTGGCCAGGCGAACACTGCTTTGCACAAAGAACGGCTTGAACCGCTTCTCATATTCTGATAGCTCCTCCTTCTTGGCTGCGGGAGATTTGGCGTCTGGCGTAAGTGCGGATTTGGAAGGGCTCCCTGACTTGATGATAGGCACCAATGTATCCTTCTTGGGCGTGGCGGGTGCCTTGAAAAAGGACATGAGCTTCGGCTGGGCACGCTCCTTCTTCTCCTTTTCCTGTTGCGCTTTGCGTTCTTCCTCCTCCTTCTTACGGCGCTTCTCATCTTGTTTGGCTTGTTTTTCGGCGTCGGCTTTTGCCTTTTCGGCCTGTTTGACTTGTCTTTCAGCGTCTGCTTTTGCCTTTTCGGCCTGTTTGGCTTCTTTCTTTTCTTCACGCTCCTTCTTCTTCTGTGCCTTTTCCTTCTCTTCGGCCTCCTTTTCGGCTGCGGTCCGGCGCTTTCGTTTGGTGGGTTGGGTAGTTGAGGCAGGTGTCTTTGATGATGAAGCGGGATTGGCACTTGTTGTGGTCTGCTTGAGGGGAGTCGTGCTCTTGCTAGGTGTGAGGTCGGGTGAGGGCGAGCCGCGCTCTGGTGTGAGGGTGCCGGCATCGGTCAATGAGCTCGGGCTACTGGGGGCTGGCGATATATCGCGGGTAGGCATCTGGCGGGCGGGAGACCCAGCTGCGAAGGTTAGATGGATGATCGGAGCAAAATGATGGCCACAATGTGGACATGTTAGGTAGCTCATACCTTTGCTGGGTTGGACAACGGCCTCGGTGGCCTGATGTTTGACGCCGTTCTGCAAGCCACGATCCTCAATGGTGACCTCGTCACCGGAGAAATCATCGTGACTTCTCTTCAGGCCGCTAGCCTCCATGTCTGATTCTCGTTTGATGTTGGATGACATCTCGAATAGAGGCATCGGACGCCGGGTGTCGCAAGGTTCGCGACAGTGCTCGTCGGTTGGTCGTGTTAAGTGTAAAGTGTAGAATGAGGCTGAAGTTGTGTCCGTGGCAGTTGGTGTGGTGGGGAAGATTGAAATGAATCGAGTATCCCGCAACCAGACCAGAGAATAGGTACTTGGTGAGTGAATCGCTGGTAGGACGACAGTCAGGTATTTCGAACAATCAATGAGGTGTCGTTCAGCTTCAGAAAGAGCCGTGATGGCAGGCTCAATGGCGGCAGGTCAGGTCGTCGGTCTTGCAAAGTGGAAAAGACCGTTAGTGGAGGTTGACAGGTAAGGTTGGGACGTTCCGCCGGGACGCGACTGACGCGTAAATTTGGCGTTGAGGAGGCCGGGGGGAGGGGGGTCGTGTCTTTGGGCCGATAGGCACCATTACCATTTGAATTAGTGGCAGGGCTCCTTCTTGGTGCAGAAAGGGGAGATTGGGCCTTGCCAATGGTGAGCGACAGGGTATTGGGCGACGCGTTAAGGGGAAACTCTGTTAAATGGACGACAGGTGTGAATTATAGGTATTGTTAGAATCAATTAAACAACTATCATACTACTCCGTAGAAGAGAACACTCCCAGTAATTTCGATTCCACTTTCGAGTGAACATAGAAGTTGATCTGAGAAGAGACTCCAAAACAATTTACACAAGGCATTATTCTATATCAGAGACATCACCTTTGCTTTGGTCAATTGTTCAAGTACTCTACTTTCAATGCTCCCGCGAGTTGCGCACTAACAAAACCTCTTAAACGCAGCCCCCACCTGCACGCGTTTCGCTCAGCTGGGAGCTTATGTCAGCACGATAACGACAAAGGCCGCGTTGTGGCTGACGGCCTATCCTCACTGGCCTCATGTGGCTGGTATCTGACAGACCTGCGTTGGTCAGTGCGGTATTACCTCATTCTCGGTGAGATTTCGGTCTGCAGCTTCGGTCTGACATCTCCATCGCACTACACCGAGGCAGACGTTGACAAGGGCCACCAAATATTCAATGGAGACAGAAGACAAAACCATCCAACCACACCTTACCAGCAAAGGGAGACCCGCCTTTCGGTGTCAATCGGTCTTGGCTCAAGTCAGAACGTTACATCATGATGCCATTTCTCTTTTTCCCACCCTCTGGCTATCCTTTCCCACTCTATGGCTATCCTTTCCCACCTGCCATCACGTTTACTCCATTCACCCCGATGTCCCCCCCGCGACCCTGTGCCTGTCTCTGCCTATCACTATTAATCGGGGTAGACGGAATCGACGGACAAGAGCGATAATCTTCACCAAGGAAAGTTGGAAAGGTGGAAATGGAAGAAAAAACCTAGGGGTCTTTTTTTGGTGGGCAAAAACACGAAGTGATCGACAACGCCGCCCGCCCTGCGCGTAAGGTCCCTCTGTCAACTAGGACCCTGATGATGATGATTGTTTGCCGCCTGCGAAAAAGGATCCCTGCCTGTCGGCAAGTGGCGGTGGTTCTTTTTCTCAGCGATACCCGCTCAAAAAATGCAGGTAAACAAAGAGGGTACAGAGGAAGCCAGCAATCAGCAGACGCACGAGATGCAGAAGCGAGGACTTCATGCCAGGGACGGGATGGCCTGCAGAAGGAGGCATATCCCGTACGCAGTCACTCCGTATAGTGCCGTGGGTGCTGAGCTTCCTCAAGTGGTTGACTTTGCGGCGCCGCGTTTCCCGAGTGCTGGGCGTTGTTGCCCATCCTTGCTATGTAACTTACCTCTTGAAGATCAATGTTGGGTGGTGTTGCTGGGCACTCGAAGGCGACGTCGGCGATCGTCTGCCTTGAGAAGTTCTCGTATCTCACCACCTGTCGCTTTGGGCACTCTTTGGTACTGTTTACAGAAGATAGCCACGGGAGCCAGGATATGCATGTCATCGACAAGACACAGACCAAAAGACCCTGAGAAACAAAGTTTTGGGGTACGGGGTCTCCGTTCGAACCCAAAGAATGAAGGGGGGCGCCAACTATACGGAAAGTTGGGACAAGTCAACCGTCAGAAACTCCTCGAAACACGAGGTCGCATGTGTGTCAAAAACGAACTGACAGTGTCGCAGTAGTTCCTGCGCATTGCGATAGTCCAAAATGGTACCTATAGTATGGTAGCAATGGCAATCCCGTGCTACCTGACCTATGAACCTACGGTAAGAGATAGCGTACGGAGTAGAGAGATTGACTCTGAGAGGCGGCCTCAAGTCCGAAGGGGAGGGGGGAAAGCTAAGGAAGAGGTTAGATCTATAAAAGTGTACTATCTTTGGAACACATGACAGGTTTGGCCGGTAAGTTAGATAGTTTAGTGTATCTGTAGCTCATTACGGATAGACCAAGTAAAAAGGTAGCACTGCAAGCGGCTCACCACATGTCCCTCGAGTCAAACATCCTCCTCCCAACCCCGGATCTTGCAGGATGGGGTTTGGCGTCTCCCATTTCAACCACGCGGGAATGGGTTGGTCCAACAGAGAGTTTTCTACAGATTGCCATGCTTGGAAAGTTAGCCTGAACCATCCCCCATCGGAAAATCCCCCAAGAAAATGTGGCAAATGAAAACGGCGTGCGGCTGAAGAAGCATTACGGTAATATCATATTACTGGGTCGGCTGAAAGGTGTTCCCTTTACTCCGTGACGAGCCAAGACGACCCTCTACAGCTACGTAGCTTTGAAGACAATGTCTCAGACTATCCCCCCAGAAGGTCGGCTGGCTGGGCTGAATCAACCTTTCGGTAACCAATTCTCCCGAAATTGACGTTCCTGGGCACCATTGGTCACACACACACAGCTTGACAGGATGGCATAATTCAATACGGGTAAAAAAGGGTTGTTCAATCGTGATGCCCAGGAATGGCTTTTCATATTCGAGCATTTCGAGCTTCTCTATTTGTCTCAGCCTCTCTCTCTCTCTCTCTCTCTCTCTCTCTCTCTCTCTCTCTCTCTCTCTCTCTCTCTCGCCTTCCCCGTTGCCCGTAATTCCAAACAGCTTCCACTAGGGCCTTCAATCTCAACCGTGGTATCATCCTCCGCCCCCTTTACCCTACCCAATTCGTCTTTGGTTTTGTCTTCCCCTTGTCCTGCCTGACATCCGTCCCCCCTCCCATCTCGCTTTTGATGTCTTGTCCACAGATTAGGGAACAGATCGCAATATGGTCTGTCCATGTGAGGAGCGTCGCGGCCTAGGAAAATAAAAAAAGAGTCCGAGCCAAGGAAATGGTAGGAACAAAGGTAGAGAGGCCCGTAGGAAGCGATCGTAGAGCGGAAACAATGTTGGAAAATCTTTGACAAGGAGACTCGAATTTCGATCTCTCTCCCCGGCACATCCGGTAAACCGAACTGTGTCATCTCGGGATGGTCTCTGTATGGTATCATCCCACGCATGATAAAAAACAATCCCCAAGTAAAACGCCGAGTGATGCAAGTTTGTGACAGTAAAAGAAATCACCAAACACCCCCCCCCCCCCTTTAGTGACCGTATTTGTATGCCTAAAGAGACATTCGTACAGATTGGCGATGACGAGGAAGGAACAGGAAAGTCGGAGAGATGTCGAATCGTTTTCCTCACGTCATGGTAAAGCGAATGAAGCCCATCCCGATGGGCTCGTAACGTATTGTGAAAGTCGGCGACTTATCCATACACGTATGTATGGGGCCGCGAGGGCAGCGTGGCCTCTCACAAATCGGGGTTAGCGATGTAAAGACGGCCTCCGGTGAGCGTGGTGGTGCGCTCGTCGACGCTGCCCCTCCTGCGTAGGTCATCGGCGCCCTTGACGCTCTTCTCGCGGGTGACGGTCGAATGCATTAGTGAGTTGCTCGCCAATCTCGCCGCCGCAGTATTGCCCAGCTCGCCGACATTGTCCGCCCGCTCAGCGCTGCTCCCTGAGCCCGTCGTCATGGCCCTACCACTCGCGTTGTCGCCCAGCGTGGCGTCCTCCGGTACGTCCTCGACCATGCTACCACTCCTCTCGGGCGTATCTCCGGGGCTCCATCTGCGTCCGCCGCCGGATGATCGGTATCCCGGGCCACGACGGCTCGCAGTGCTACTGCGGCCGCTGCTACCGGTCCGTCTGTGATGCAAGCGCGCGTCGTCGTCGTCGCTGTCCTCGCCCTCAACCTCGGTGGCACTCAGCCGCATGGGAACGCCGCCGACGCCAACGTGGTGCTCTCCCGGAGCGTAGCCCACTACGGCGGGCTTCCCGTGGTGACGGATCTTGGCGGCAACCTTGCCAGTAGCACTGATGCCGGTACTCGTTCTGCCGCCGGACGGAGCGGAGAGGCCAGAGGCGGTTCGCTGGCCGCCGATGACCTCGAGGGTAGCTCGCATCTTGGCGGCGCGCTGCTGTGCCAAGAGGCGAGGGTCCTCATATTGGGCGCGGTCGCACCACACGGTGGCCTTTTGCTTGCGGAGAAGGGCGACATAGCCCGTCGGCTGGGGGCTGCCGCCGCCGGAGCGAGAGGAGGTAGAGCGACGAAGATCGGTGGTGGGCGAGGTGCGGTAGGCGGCGGGCGGAGGAATGCTCGAGGAGGTGCTGAAGGTGTTTACTGATGGTGAGCGGCGGGTATGTTGCTGAGGGTTCATGGCATTCTGCTGCTGGAGGTGCATCGGCGTCGGGCTCTGAATGGGGAATGTATTTGAGGACGTCGTGCGTGTGCGGGAGTGGGAGTAGACTGTGGACGAGTCCATCGGCTGATACCGCCGGCTCGCTGAGGGGTCCAGCATGACTGTGGTTGATGTGAGGTTGTGAGGCAGGCTCTATCCTGCTATCGATGTTGTCGTCGTCCTCCTTCGGATAGGTGGTGTCTTTCGTGGAGGTTGTGTGGTGTTGCTGGTCCTTCAAGATCGTCAAGATGGGATGGAGTCTTATACACCTGTAGAGGATGGGGTGTAGAAGTAGGAGTAGGAACAAGAGTAGGACCAGAAGGAAGAGGAGGAAGGTGAGGTTGTGAGGTAGAAAAAGGCTGTCGTGGGATTTGGAGAGAAATAATCCGAGAGCGTGAAGTTGGGCAAAGGAGGGAGATTATAGGTCGGGTTCCCAGGCGGCGTGCGGGCGAGTAAGGCACCTTAAGTTTCGCGCGGGTCGACGGGGCGAAATGTTGAGATTTGGGTACTTGGGGGAAGACCTGAGGGGAGTTCTTGGGCGCTTCAGCTCAGCTCTCAGGGCCAGCGGCAGCCGGATGGGAGGTGCCTTTTAGCGCTCCGTCACCTTGTGGCCTTTTGGGAGGGGTCCCCTTTGGCTGGGATTGTGAGTGAGAGAGAGTGGGAGTGGGAGTGAGAGTGAGTGACCGGGGAGGGGGGTGTGAGGTGAAGTGAGGTGTGAGGTGTGAGAGTTGAGACTGAGAGCGAGAGAGCAAGAAGAGTGAGGTGAGAGGGGTGTGTGAAAACAGGAGTGAGGCCTGTGTGAGAGTGAGAGTGAGAGTGAGAATGAGTGGGTGGATGAGTGGTGGAGAGAAGGTGGGAGAGTGGGAGGTTCCCTGGGTCGGGAAAGCCGAGAGCGACAAGTGCTAAAATTGCTCGGAAGCCTGCGAGGTAAATGTACCTTTTTTCTCTCCCCTCCAGCAAGTCGTGGGTTCAGAAAGTGAGAGCGAGCCAAGCCACGCCTGAAGAGGGATCCAGCACCACGGTGACGATGAATGATGGTGATGTTTCCCCCCTTCTTCGCGTCTTGAACAACGCCTCTATTTTTCTGTCTCTCACTTAGACTTTTGGCTAGACACCGAGTAACTCTGTCACTAGACACCGACTCTGTACAAAGACAGATCGTTTATCGAGCCTGTCGAGCTGCTACGCGGTAAACACGAACAACAAGACACAAGGAACTTGTTCACCACACTTCGGGTCCTCGCACCCGATCTGCGACCTGGATGGAAACGACGGGGAACAATGACAATGGCCCGGTGAGAGAGGCTGATAAACGAACCAGAGGGTCTCGGGTTTCTATTTTGCTCGTGTCCGCCGTCCGCCGTCCGTCGTCGCGCTTAAAGCCAGACCCTCTGTGGAGCACAGATGATGATGGAAGAGTCGGCAATCCCAGTCGTGCCAGTTCCGTACTTAGAAAAGCTAGGGGAATTTGGGAAAACCCAAGGGAACGATACGACAGGGCGGCCAACGATCGTCTGTGCCCTTTTTTTTTTTTTCTTGTCTTGGTATCGCTAAAAGAATTGATATCCGTGGGATCACCGCAGTTCGGGTCCGGGTAGCGTGCTGAAGCGCGAGATGAAGAGAGAGGGATGATGCTAGACGAGGCACGTTTCGTCGATAGTGGGAGCTGAGGGCTGAAGGAGGGCTGAGGCCGGAGGGAGATCAAGAGTCGCAGGGACGATGCCGTTTCGCCAAGATGCAGAGTCGCGAGAGAACAATAAACAACAACGAGGCGAGGGAGAAGTGAATCCTAACGCGCAGATGTTGTTGTCGGTGTTGGTGTTTGTTGTTTTGTTTCTTGTGGGTGTGAGATCACGGCCGAGATAAGGCAGACCGACGCTGCAGGTCTGAGATGAAAACCTGAGATAGAGTATAGTATGCCCACTCACACACACACACACACACACACTCACTCACTCACTCTCACACCCACCACACTCTTGAGAGAATTAACCTCAATTGATCCCGTTCGTGAGGGGTGCGGTTCGCCGAGGTGGAGGAGGCGATGGTTGTGATGGTGGTGGTGCCCAAGGAAGAACTATGTACTAGGTAAGCGTCGAACTCGGACGACGAACCCAAGAACGTGGGGTTTGTACGGATGTGCGGGAATACACCACAGAGTCGAATACGGATACTCCAAGATGGGACTAGCACTCTTGTCCAAAGAAGTTGAGGACAGGACAGAACTGGGGTTTGAATGCGATGCGATGCGATGCAAAGGGCCGGCCGAAGCAATAAGCAACAAGCAGCTGCAGGATTTACCAACTTTACGAACTAAATACTGCCAGATCAAAATCAAATGCCCAACATGGTGGTACCGCATGGTGACGACTGAATGGTAAGTCGCCGATGCGGGATGAACTTCCACACAGCGTATATGTCTACCGTAATATAGCTTCGGTGACTGAAAGAGAGCAAACAAGCACAACCGCTGATATCATGACCAACTCTTCTTGTTGGAGATACACATATCCATCCGGATACCGCAGTGACACAACCCATTGACAAGAAAGAGGGACGAGACAGAAAGCCCAAGCAAGCACGTACCGCACCCGCAAGCACAAAAGAGGCCAGGACCAGGGGCCAGGACGACACTTGGACAGACTGGGACAGGGACAGGCCAAGGACGAGTGTGACAAGGCGACACTCGACAGGGTGACAAAATGGTGACAAGGGCCCCGGTCCAACGTTGCATGCGCCCGGGGCAGCTCTTTTGCTGCTTAGTGTCTCTCCCTCTCCCCCATGTCTCTCTCACTCTCTGTCTGTGTCTCTTTCTCCCATGTTTCCCACTCTGTCTTCTGGATGTGTGCTCGCGCCGCTCTCCTCTATTGGCTCGCTGCCGCCGTAGCCTTCTCCCCTCTTGAGGAGAGAGAGGGCCTTTCGTCGCTCTTGTCATCGCCGGGCCCTACTTTTTCGTAGGTAGATCCACAAAGTTCAACGAGAACCCGTCTGTCCCTCCTGGCCATCTTTCGTTCACCCTGTGTCTATCTTGGATATTCTATGGATATCCTTACTATGGAGTCCTTCTCTCAGCTTGCCTTTCCCACGGCGCCATAGCCCACTTTCTTACCCTTCCCTCGCGGGCCTCCAGTGTCCACAATGGTTGTCAGTCTGCGGCGCTGCGGTCGTCGTGCTGTCGTTGCTCGCTGGCGTACTCTCACCACCAGCTTGACAATGGGAATGGGAATCACCAAAGCCTCTTGGATACCGTCTCCCACTCTCAGTCTCTTCCCGTCTCTCTCCACTCATCGAACATCCACATCCGTGACTACTGTTGTACTGCTATGCTGCACGTAAACCCCTCGCCTGGCCCAAGCTTCCGGACTACACTATGCCGGGAGAATATGTCACCATCAT